TGAACTTCATCAAACTTCTACCCTGTTAAGCTTTGATTCATGCTTAAAATAACCATGTTACCAGCTGGCTTGTAGGTCACCATTGATTGGTTGTCTCAATCCAGGGGATGGCTCGTCTCTCCTATTTCTACTCGAGCCTTGTTGTGGTCGTTGTACTTGATTAATCTTCTGCGTCCGACTCTTTTGTATATGTTTCCTCCTAATGTTTCTAGCAGGTATACTCCTCGTTTTCCTACTTCTTTGATTCTGAAAGGTCCTTCCATGGCTTGTTCGAGTTTTCGCTTATGCGCTGGTGCATATAGTAGTACTAGGTCTCCAATTTGATATGGGGTGGCTAATCCCTTATTGGCTTCCATTTTCTCTTTGACTTTCTCTTGCTTCTTTCTGATCACTTCGGCTGCTTCGATTCGTTTGTGGTGTAGGTCTTCAAGTTGTTGGAATCTGTCAATTGGTTCATCCAGTAATTCATCTAAGGCGATTGGATATTTGGCTTCGATTGGCAATTCTAGGCGGTATCCAAATAGCAATTCCACTGGGGTCTTTCCTGTAGTGGCTTGTACTGATGCTCGATAGTCTATCAGTAGTCCGGGTATTTTCAAGTGCCATTGGTTCTTCCTGGCTCCAAGCTTCTTCCGTAGCATCTTCACCAAAGTCTGATTGAAACGTTCCACTTGGCCATTTCCTTGTGGATTCGCTGCTGTGGTAGGAGTATGATTGATCTTCCATTTCTTCATTGCAGCGTTCCAGAGTTCTCCCGTAAAGGCTGATCCCTGATCAGATATAAGCTGTTGAGGCTTCCCATAGACAGTGTAAATTTCTTCATAGACAAATTTTAGAGCTTCGTCCATGTTAGTAGTCTTAGTAGGTTTGACAATAGGCCATTTAGTAAAATAATCTTGAGCAACAATCATATACTGATAGCCTTCTGGTGTTTCATGTAGAGGTCCGACATGGTCGATTCCTACTATTTCGAATGGTCTGGAAGCGATTATTGGGTAAATATCTTTTGCCTTCTGGGGTTTCTTCTCTCGTTGACATTGGTCACAAGTTGAAATGAACTCTGCTGCTTGTTTACTGATACCAGGCCACCAATATCTTTCTTTGATCTTGTTTACAGTGCTGTGGATACCCATATGTCCTTGTTCGTGGACTGATCTGATAATTTCTTTGTGGTTCGGGCTTGGGATTACTCTTCTCCATTGGTTTGGCTTCTTTTCGATGAACAAAACTCCTCTTTGCACTTTTAATGCTCTATCAGTGAGTGCTTTTTCCTTTAGTTCGGCGTAAGCTGTAGGGTCCATTTTTTTTTCTTATTGGTCTGTTACTCCGAATTTAGGGTCCCGGGATAGGGCATCGGCAATGACATTCTTCTTGCCTTCAAGATGCCGTATAGTGAAATCGTATTCTTGCAGTTCGCTGACCCATCTAGCTTTTCGCTTACTTCTAGGCTCTAGCTTGTGGATGATAGAGAGTAGCGCCTTATGATCTGTGAAGAGTTCAAAATGCCTGCCGTGGAGGTATCATTTATATTTTCTGATCGCCCAAACTGCTGCTAACCCTTCTCGATCTGTTGTGTCGTAGTTCTTCTCTGCTGGATTTAAAGCCTTCGATGCGTAGGAAACAATGTAGTCTCTCTTTTCTTCTGGATTCCATTGCATCAATACCGCTCCGAGTGCTATATCTGAAGCATCAGTCATCAACTTGAATGGTTGTTCCTTGTTTGGGTATGCTAATACTGCCGCTGAGACTAGCGCATCCTTGAGCTCTTGAAATGCCTTGGCCTGCACGTCAGTCCAAGCAAATCTAGCTCTTTTTCTTAGAAGTGATTGAAGGTGAGCTGCCTTTTCCTGATAGTGATCGATGAATTG